CACAGCACCTTACACATGACAGAACTAAACAGCCACCCTCACCATCCCTGCTTTCTTAGAGCCCACTGTTGCAGTCACTGTGTCAATCCATCTCTTTGAGGGTCTTCCTCGTTTTTTGTTCCCTCTACTTTACCAAACATGGTATCCTTCTCCAGGGACTGGTCTATCTGGATAATATGTACAAATTAGGTGAGGTGAAATCTAGTCATCCTTGCTTCTAAGGAGTATCCTAGCTGTACTTCTCCAACACAGTCTGTTCATCTGTTTTTCCTCCAAATGCTAACACTCACTGATTTCATACTCACATTTCTAACTCACATAGTTAGAGATTCAATTTCTTGTTGTGATTAAGAGCATGAACTTTGAAATCATTCTGAGAAATTTGCTTAAATCTCTAATTACTTTCTACCATGAACATGTAACAAGTAGTCAAAGCCTTTTCATGCTGAAAGGACAAGATCTTAGTTGCTCCAAATTGTGCTTCTTCGCTTTTGAGAACTTCCGAGTCATAATTAGTGAACCAATGCATAAGACTGTTTCTAAGCACTGGCTTCTAGAGCCTACAGCTGGGAGCAAATGGACACATTCTCAATTCAGAGAATCTGAGTTGTTGCCTCTATACAAATACCTCCAACTCCAAATAAGAGGCCCTTGGTATGTAGAAAGAGATATGGCAAACTAAGAGTTCTAGGAAATAGTTCATTTTCACACCATTTAGAATAAAACTCACCCCCACCAAGTCAATTCTGACTCATAGTGACCCTATAGGACCGGATAAAACGTCATCTATGGGTTTCTACGACTATAACTCTTGTTTGTTTTTTGAAACTCTAACTCTTTACAGAAGTAAAAAGCCTCATCTTTCACCCTGAGGGTAGCTGATGGTTTTGAACTCCTGATCTTGTAGTTAGTAGCTCAACACCTAACTCACTACACCCCCAGAGCTCTTTACCATGTAGAATAGCAAAGATTAAGAATCCATTTCCCCTGTATATAGTACAATGTGAAAAGGGCAGGCATTTCCAAGAGGTGCTCAAGAAGATCGGAGTTGGACTGCTTATGCTAAATAGAAACAGCTTTCCATTGACTATTCCCATGTGGGATTGTTTCCATGTGGAATCATCAGTAAAGAACACCTTTAGCTCCCCCCAAATAATAAATCTGTCTTTATAAGCATTTGTTCACATAGAATAACATGAGAAGATGATTTAAACATAATCAATGTTAGAAGTGAAGCATTGGCAACACTGATAAAGTCTGTTGTCCTCATGCCCCAACATACATTCTATCTTTATTCCCTGCCCCCACCCCAAATATTTTTAGGTGTATAATTTATAATTCATTAATAATGTTATGCTATAACATCCATAATCATGCCAAATTTCCATGACCACAAACAGCAACTCACTGCTTTCTAAACAACGACTCTCACTTTCTGCTTCCTTACTGCCCTGGTGACATAGCATTTTCATGTGTGTGGTTACTAACTGAAAGGTTGGCGGTTGGACTGACCCATTTGTTCTGAGGGAGAGAAACCGGGTGATCCGCTCCTGGAAAGAATAACTATGGCCACTGAATCTACCTTGACTGACAAGAGACTAGATAGAACCCTGGAAACGGCTGTCATGATTGGTAAAGGAGAGTATCAGCAAAAGAGAGGGAGATCCTCAACTAGAAGGATTGACATAATGGCTGCAACAATGGTCTCAAAGATGACAACTGTGTGGATGGTGCAGGAGCAGGCTGTATTTTGTTCTGTTGTACACAGGGACGTTATGAGTTGGAACCGATTTGATGGCACTTGACAACAATAACAACAACAAAAACAGCAACAGCAACTATGTAGGTTTCCAAAACTGAAATCTTTATGGAAGCGGACCAGCACATCTTGCTTCCACCAGTGTGTGGTGGGTTCAAATTCCTGACCTTTTGATCTGCTTGCATAACCACTCCATCACTAGGGATGTTTCAGATAAATAGAATACATTCTAGAAAATCCTATAGGCACAGTTCTACCACATAGGGTTTCTTTGAGTCTCAACCAACACAACTACACAAGAGCAGCAACATCATCACCCCTGAAAATCACGAATAAACTGTGGTCTCCGTACACTTTCCTGACCTAGATATTTCATATAAGTAAGGTAACACAATGTTTTTCCCTTTGTGATTGACTTGTTTTACTCGGCATAATGGTTTCAAGTTTCATCAATGGTGTAGAATGTATCTGGGCTTCATTTTTCTTTATACCTAAGCAATTCTCTCTTTCTACTTTAGTAATTTAAGTCTTATTTTATGCAGAGTGGCTATGCAACTTGCCAAAGGGTTACACTTCACGACTTCCCTTGCAATTAAGTATGACCACGTTTGTGAGTCACCTTGCTGCTATTAGGTGCTCTTGAGACAGTTCCAATTCATAGTGACCCTCTGTGCAACAGAATGAAAACTTCTTTTTGTTTGAGCCCATTGTT